CGACGCTTGCGCGAGGCCGCCAGTCGTGAGGCCGCGGGCTTGCCGCGTACGGCTCCCGTCCAGCTGGGTCGGGATTGGCGCAAAACTCTGCGCGCCGTCCTGCACAACGCTGAGGTCTCGACGGGCCTCGCCAACGCGGATCGTGCCGCTCGTGCTGGGGACGCCCCCGCGTCGTCCACTGGGCGCTCCCTGGCCGAGGTGGAAGCTGGGGACCCGCGCGCCTTGGCGAGACCTGCCGACGACCCAGCGTCCAGCTTCAGCCGTCGTGAGGGGCGCGCGGTCCGCGCCCGCCTGGGCCCGCGGGACGAAGCTGTCGAGGACCAGCCCAATCGCGGTGGTCACGCGCCGCACTCCGCCTCGCGCACGGGCGCCGCGCGCAACAGGCGCGCCAAGAAGCAGCGGCGAGCTTCGACGGCGGCGCTCCCCGCCCCTGAGGGGGGGGCCGCCACGACGCCGGGCCGCAGGGCGCGTCGCACTGCTAATGCGCGCCGCTGGGCAGGCGCGGCACGCCCAGCTCCGCCGCGGGAGTGGGCCCTCCACCGCGGAGCCGCAGCCCTGCCCGCAGCCGCACGCGGTCTCCGAACCCGTACGGGACTGATCACACCTCTCCCTCGGGAGGCTGCTCCTCGCCTCCCATCGACGGCTCGATCTCGCCTGAGGAGCCGTCGGGGCCGCCGGCGGGGGAGGCATCGGAGGGCCCGCACACTCCTGACGGGTCTCCGCCCGCGAGCGCCCGCAGCCGCTCGAGAGCGGAGCCCGCGTGCGAGGAGGACTCTCCGACGGAGCTCGAGGACGTCGTGCTGAGTGCCCTCGCTGACTCCTCGGTGGACCTCGAGCGCGTCGTGGCGGGCCTGAACCCCGAGGTCCTCCTCCGCTTGCAGGCGGCCTTCCCTCGCCGCGCGGAGGCCTCTCCGCCCGCCGCTCACGCCGCGGCTCGCAGCCGCTCTCGGGGCCGCGGCACGCGTGCAGGCTCCGAGACGCCGCGGCCCGTCCCCCCGCCGCCGCCACCACCCCGTCACCACTCTGGTGGGCGTGCGGCGTCGCGATCCCGCGGGTCGGCCGCCGGCCAGGGGCTTAGTCGAGCGAACGCGCGCGACTCCTCTCGTGCGCCTTCGCGTCAGGCGACGTCGCCTGGGCGTCGCGAGGTGCGCTCCCCTCGAGTCGCTCCGAAGCGTCGCCCGAGCCCCGCCACTTCGCAGCAGCCAGCCACGCCCCGCCATGGTGCGAGCTCGGACGTCGCCTTCGCAGGCAGCTCCCGCGCGGACTCCGCTGCTCAGGCCCCTCCGACTTCGGTAGGCATGCGCTCTTCCAGCGATGCTGTTGCGGCCCCGCAGGGAGGAGGGCGTGCCGCCGAGGAAGGGGGGTCTTCGAGCGGCTTCGCGCTTGGCCGAGCTTCAGAGCCCGAGCTGCATCTCAGCGGCTCTCACAGCGGTGACGCTGGAAGCGCCGCGGCTGCAGCCTTCGCAGCGCGGCGCACGGCCTCTGCGGCCGCTGAGCAGCCCTTGCCTCCAGGGGCCGCCAGCGCCCTAGCGTGGCGCCTCAACATCGGCGGTGAGAAGATCACTGTGGTGAGGTGGGGACCCGCCTGGCAAGCTGCCTTCCAGAGCGCGGCGTCGTGGCTGAGGTCTTTCGCACCCGCAGGGGCCGCCGAGCCCGAGGGCAAGGATGACTTGCACTGCCTCCTGCGGGCCTTGCACGCCTACAAGCGCCTGTTTCAGACAGGCGGCGCCGAGCCGATCGACGAGGCCTCGTGGTTGCATCCTTACGTGGCCGTCGTCGAGCCCGAGGCTATCCCCGCGCATGCTGACCTCCAAGCCATGGGGGCGGGCGCCATCCGTGGCATCGGGCTCGGCTCAAAGATCGAGCAGCGGCGGCGCGCGGGCAAATTGGCCTGCCTTTTCGACCTTCTGTACCACGTGCAGGACAGTCACGGCGCCATCCCAGCAGCGCTGTGGGGATCCCACTCCCCTCCGTCCGAGATCCTCGACGCCTTCGCGGAGGTGGTGCCCGTTCCACATCATTCGGGCCTCACGTCCTCGGCAGCTCGTTCCGAGCTCGCCGAAGCAGCCGCAGCTGCGCGTGCCGAGCCGCGCCCGCCTTTTGACTGGGCGACCCTCGAGGGAGGGGACGCTCTGCCAGCCGAGATCGAAGCAGGGGCTCGCCGTGCCTACCGTAACATGGGCGGATCCTTCAGCTCGGCGCGGGCGATGCTGGCGGAGGCGTCGGGGTTCGAGACCGACGGGCGGGACGCCCTCGTTCCGCCCTTCTACGCGTCCAGGCGCAGGAGGGCCGCCACGCTGATCAGCTCTCCAAGCCCTGGCCGCCCTGCGCTCATCCTGTGGTGCGTCTGCGGCCTCTGCATCTCTCTGGGAGCCGCGGCGCCGACCGCAGGCCAAGGGCTTAGTCGGGCTGCGCCGTCCGCGCCCGCTCGCCCTCCGCGCACTCCCTTCGTGCGCGATTCTCACCTCACCTCCGCGTATCTCGACCGTCGCTCGAGATCGATTGATGCCTTCGAGCTGTGGTTAGCAGAACACACTGGCGTGCCACCCGCCACACTTTACCGAAGCGGGATACTTCTCGCCCGTTTCCTCGCGACCTTCGGCGTGTGGCTTCATGATGCAGGTTTCCCTCATTATATTTTGGTCCATGCCATCTTGGGAATCCAAAGCGCCCATCCGCATTGGAAGGCCTTTCTGACAGAAGCTTGGGACGTAGCGAAACAATGGAAGCTTGCGGAGCCGCCAAAGCTCCGTCCCCCCTTGCCACGCGCGCTGCTGCGCGCCATGGTCGGGCTCTGTCTCGCCTGGGACTGGCCGGTGATGGCGGCCCTGCTGCTCATGGGCTTCACGATGTTCCTCAGGCCTGGCGAACTGCTGGCGTCACGCCGCTGTGACCTGTCGCTTCCATGCGACCGTCTCGAAGTTGAAGGGGATGCTTTTCTTTCGATTCTTGTTCCAAAGACCAGAAGAACGTACCCGACGCAACATGCTCGCTGCTCCGATCGGGGCACGGTGAAGATATTGAATCAAGTGTTTGGGAGGTTGGCTTCCACCGATCCTCTCGCCCCCTTCGGCGCGAGCGGCTTCCGTACTCGGTGGAATCATCTGCTTTTGGCTCTGGGCGTCCCTCTTGCCAAAGCAGGTCAGGGGCTCAACCTGACGCCCGCTTGTCTGCGGGGCTCTGGCGCAACAGACTTCTATATCGCTACGGAAGAGTCCCCCGCGTCTTCTGGCGAGGGCGCTGGCGTCAAGCTTCCAGTGCCGAGCGCTACCTGCAAGCCGCCGCCGCCTCCACAGTTCTTGCTGCGCTGCCCGAGCACGCACGGGCTCGTATCTTGTTCTTCGCCACCGCCAGCGACCGCCTTGTCGCTTCGTTCCTCCAAGTCGGCCCCGCCGCTTGGCCTGCCCTGCTTGCGGCCGCCCGCCAAAACCTTGTCACTTCGCAAGGTCCTTGAGCACGGGTATGGCTGCCTCGCCGACATCGGCGACCAGACGGACTCCACCGTCTGACGCGCGGCGCCCCGGCTTGAGCGCGCGGGACGGGCCTGCCCATTTTGGGCCGCCCCGCGCGCGCACGCCGCGGCCGCGCTCGGAGACAGCTCGCTAGCGCGCGAGCGGGAGAATGCTTCTTCTATTCTCTGTGAGCAAGCTCCTGCTGTCTCCGCAGCTTCTCTGCCCCCCTCCCTCCTCTCCCACTCTAAGGCTGACGGGCGCTGCCTCGCCGACATCGGCGACCAGACGGACTCCACCGTCTGACGCGCGGCGCCCCGGCTTGAGCGCGCGGGACGGGCCTGCCCATTTTGGGCCGCCCCGCGCGCGCACGCCGCGGCCGCGCTCGGAGACAGCTCGCTAGCGCGCGAGCGGGAGAATGATATGGATGATACTGATGATGTTGATGATGATGATGATGATGATGAGGAGGAGGAGGAGGAGGAGTAAGAGGAACTCGACGTTTTGTTGTCTTTGTGTACCCCTATTTCGTCACAGCTGGATCCATTTCGAGATCCCAGCCAGAATGTGTTTCTGGAGTCGGTGTGCAAAGGAAAAGTGGCCGGACAATTATCTCAGGCACTGTGAACACATCGCGACGTCCGGTGCTCCTACGCTAGGGCATCTGGAGGCCCGTTTCGGGCCCAAGGGCATCGAGGAGTTGTCCGCCGCGAGCAATGCACCACAGTCTCGTAGATCCGTAGCCATTTTGGCTCCAGGATTTGGGTTGTCAGGCGTGTGGCAGGAAGCGGGTGTGAGTGTGCGACGAGGGCCAGGCGACTTGCCACGGCCTCGCAGCTCCTGGGTGCCAGCGCCATGGGCGGGCTCAGCAAGATGGTCGCCGCCGGCTCTGGCGCAGCCGCCGCGGCCGCGGGGGCCACGGCCTTCCTCCCAGCGGTTCAAAGTTGGGGCCCCGAAGAATGGGGTCCTGAAGCACGAAAAGGACCCCAAGCTGAACCGCCATTGCTCGAGGCCACTCATACCTCAGGTCTGTGGCGAACCCAGGGGGAAGTGAGAGGGGGCGGGCCTCAGAAAGCTCTGCAGGCCTTGGGCCTTCTGTGAAGTTTGCTAGGCCCTCCCAGAAGGCACAGGACACTTTTATCACAAGGCCCGAGGGGTTCTGAGAAGCCCCGCCGCCTTCTGAGATGGCCTGCCCCCTCTCACATGCCCCCGGGCGCGCCGCCGACTGGGGCCGGGGGGGGGCGTTCTAAATGGGGGGGGGCAACGAGGGCTGCAGAAAAAGGGCCCTTGAGGGTCCCGGGTGTCAAGGGAGGAATGACCACCCAGACCCTGAAAATTGGCGTACACTACACGGCCCTGGGCGTTTACTCAACAGCTCTGCCCTGTTCGATTCCTGCCTTGGGTGCATTTGTTCAGCGGCTTCGTCCTTGTGGGGGTGCTTCTTATGAGGGTGGCTCTCCTGGTCTCTGCAGAGGGGCCCTTTGAGGGTCCACGAGGAGGCCTCTGTAGGCCCGACGAGTGCACCCCCTCCCCCAGAAGCGACGCCCGAAGGCCCCATCTCTGAACCGCCGGTCCTCAGCGCTGGCACTGCCCGCCTGGCGCCGGCCGCGGCGGCGCCGCCCGCGCGCCTCCGCGGCGCCGTGGAGCCTCGGGCCCCTGGGGCGGCGCCGGGCGCAGCGGGCCGCGGGGTGCCGGCCGTGGCCGGCGCGTGCGCGGTGGCCGCGCCGTTGCTCCTGGCGAGCTCCTCGCGGAGAGGCCGCCGTGCCGCAGCCCGCGCCGCCGCAGCGCCGAGGAGGGGCGGCGCCGAGCGGCTGGAGGGGCTGGCCCAGGAGCTCGGCGGAGGAGGGGGATCGAAGGATCAGGGAGGTGCATGCCGATGGTCGCTGCTCGTCCTGGAGAGCTCCCGTCGCCACGGCCGGGTTGTCCACGAAAGGTCTGGGGGAGCAGCGAGCCATCTCTGTTTCTCCCCCCCCCCAGGAGCTGCTTGCGCGGCGGGGGCGCGCGGACGCGGCCTTCGCGCACCGCGTGCAGTCGGCGGCGGCCGAGGAGCTTCGCAGCAGTCGGCAGCACGGTCCCTCCGCCGAGCAGGCCCTCGCGGCAGCGGCGGCGGGCGCAGGCGCTGCCGAGAAGTGGGCGCGTTGGTGCGCCAGTGCGCTGGCGTCGACGTTGCTGGCACTGACGGTGAACCTGCAGCCTGCGAGCGCTTTCGACCAGGTGATCGGGGCTCAAGAGACGGGGTTCAATGCAAACGCGGGTCAGACAGAGTGCCAGATTTTGCAGGATCCTGCAGGGCCAGGGGCGCACTGACACGGGTGAGGGCGCAGGATCCTTCAGATCTTGGAGGATGTCGCCGTATCCTGCAAGGCCTGACTGACCAAGGTTTGGATTGGCCCGGGTCAGTAATTAGGGTTCCGAGGTGGTTCGGTAGCAAATTGTGGGAGCGTTGTATGTCTTCGCGCTGCCGTCTTTAGAGTGCAGTAGCGTGCGCTAGCATCTGGTAATCGATGAGGAGGCGCCGAGTCAGCGTCGATTAGCATCGACTTAGCGTCGATTAGCGCCGATGCAGCGACGGTTAGCGTCGATCAGCGTCGGTTCGCGAGGGCCAGCAAGATAGCGTGGAAATTTCTAGGAGTTGCCACCGAAAGGTGACCTACACGGATTTCCTCGAGCAGGTCAGCGCTGGCAACGTCGAGATGGTCCGCGTCCAGAAGGACATGCTAGGAGCGCAGTACACCTCCAAGGACGGCTCGCGTCATGAGCTGACACTGGTGCCAAACATGGAGGTGCAGGATCGGCTCTTTAACCAGCTCGCGGATAACAAGGTCGACGTTGTGATGCAGAACGTCAACGCCGACACCGGCAGCCCCTTCGAGCTCCTGGCGCGATTTGCTGGTCCCATCGCGTGGCTCATCGCCGGCTTGCTGCTGCTTTTTGGCGGCACCGGCGCCGGCGGACCAGCTGGAGGCATGGGCGGCCAGAACCCTTTCCAGTTGGGCAAATCTCCCGCCAAGATCATCAAGGACGGCGACACTAAGGTGAAGTTCCCCGACGTGGCCGGCTGTGACCAGGCCAAAGAGGAGCTCGTGGAGGTGGTTGATTTTCTCAAGAACACTTCTCGCTACGCCGAGCTCGGCGCCAAGATTCCGAAGGGCGCGCTGCTGGTCGGCCCGCCAGGCACTGGAAAGACGCTGCTCGCGAAGGCTGTCGCAGGCGAGGCGGGCGTACCGTTCTTCAGCGTGTCGGCCGCCGAGTTTGTCGAAGTCTACGCCGGCATCGGCGCCTCCCGTGTCCGCGACCTCTTCGCCGACGCGAAGAAGAGTGCGCCGTGCATCATCTTCATCGATGAGATCGACGCCGTGGGGCGCCAGCGCAGCGCAGGCTTCGGGCAGGGCAACGACGAGCGGGAGCAGACGGTGAACCAGCTTCTCACCGAGATGGACGGTTTCGAGGCCAACAACGGCGTCGTCGTTCTCGCGGCGACCAACCGAGCCGACGTGCTGGACAACGCTCTGACCCGCCCGGGCCGCTTCGACCGCAAGATCCAGGTCGACCCCCCAGATGTGGAGGGCCGAGCCGCCATCCTCAGAGTGCACGCCAAGGACAAGTCGTTGGCGCCGTCGGTCGACCTGGGCATGATCGCGCGCCAGACGCCCGGCATGTCTGGCGCCGACCTGGCCAACCTGCTGAACGAGGGGGCCATCTTGGCCGCCAGGCGCAACGCCTCCGAGATCGAGCAGGACGACGTCTCGAGCGCCCTAGAGCGCATCCAGATCGGCCTCGAGAAGAAGGACGGAGTCATGTCAGAGAAGAAGAGGCGCCTAGTGGCCTACCACGAGGCGGGCCACGCCATCCTCGGTGCCCTGATGCAAGACTACGACCTGGTGGCCAAGATCAGCATCGTGCCCCGAGGCCCCGCTGGCGGTGTGACGATCTTCATGCCGACGGAGGACCGCCTGAACTCGGGGCTCTACTCCAAGGAGTTCTTGGAGAACCGCATGTGCGTCGCACTCGGCGGTCGCATCGCGGAGGAGATCATCAACGGCAAGGACAACGTCACCACAGGTGCCTCGAACGACTTCCAGCAGTGCACCCAGGTGGCCCAGGCCATGGTCGCCCAGCTGGGCATGTCCGACGCAGTCGGCCAGCGGGTAGTTGGCGGGCAGGACCAGGGCAACCCGCTCATGGGCGGAGGCAGGGCCCCCCCTGTCTCGCAGACCCTCCGCGAGACCGTGGACCGCGAGGTGAAGAGCATCGTGGATCAGCAGTACGAGCGCGGCATGAAGCTCATCAGGTCCAACATGTACCTCCTCGACTCGCTGGCAGCTCTGCTGCTCGAGAAGGAGAAGGTCGGCGGCGAGGAGCTCAGCAAGCTCATCAACCGGGCCGCGGCCGCGGGCAAGCTCGCGACGAGCGACCAGGTGATGGCCGTGGCGGCCTCCGCTGGCGAGGTGGCGCCCCCCGGGGAGCCGTGAGGAGGCGGCGGCCTCCGCGACGGCCCGGGTCGGGCGTGCGGCCTCCTGTGCATCCGCCCCCTCGGCCTGCGCCGGCACGCAAGGAGGGCCACGGAGGAGGCGGCGCCGGTCTCCCCCAGGGAGCCCTCGGCGTGGGCTCGGGCGGGGGGCCGTGGCGGGGGCCCAGGGCGGGACTGCCGCGCGCTCCGCACGCGACGGGGGAGGCGGTTCGGCACGCCTCGAGTGGCGCGCCGAGCCGCCGCCTCGGGCTCGAGGGGCCTGGGGGAAGGTGGGCGGCGCGCCGAGGGGGGATCTGGGCCGGAGTCGATGTGTTCCGCCAGGGTTGGCTTTCGCCCGCGTTGGCCTTCGCCCAGGTTGGCTTTCCCCCGGGTTGGCTCTCGCCCGGGTTGGCTTTCGCCCGGGCGGCGCGCCGAGGGGGGGATCTGGGCCTCTCAGATGGGGTCCGAGTGGAGGGGTCAGAGGATAGCGACGCATCGCCAATCCATCGGCGAGGTGGCTCGGTGTAGAGTCCGACTTGCTCCACGCCGAGTTCCCTGGTGCATCGCCGAGGCATCCCCGATCATCTCAGGGGTGCGCCCGCCAGGCAGTTCGGGCAGGCAGGGCACAGACAGCAATAGGCCTTGACATCGCATTTCAACAAAAACGGGGGGTCGGAGGATAGCTCGAGCAGTGGCGAAGCGTCCTGGCTTGCCTATACTGTCAGCTTGTGATTAACAAAAGGCCCCCCCTGGGCCTGATGAATCGACCCCGCGGGGCGTATTTTTTTTTATCACGCGCGCCAGAGGGTCGTCGCTGGTTCCGCCGAGGGGATCGTGCACCCCCCTAGCACGACAGCCTCAAAATGATTGCCTTTCGTCTTGAAATTGTCATAAGGGTCGTACCCATCCGAGGCGAATTGTCGTTGCCCCTCTCAGGCGTCGTCGTCGTCGTCATCGTCGTCGTCGTCGTTTTTTTCTTCTTCGTCGTCCTTGTCGTCGTCGTCTTCTTCGTCGTCGTCGACTACAGCGGGCCTGCCTGCGCAACCCCCCCCCTCCCATAGGGCATCCGCAGTGCGTCGTCGTTGTCGCCGCCGTCGCCGCCTAATGTCCGCCGTCCGTCGTCCTCGTCCTCGTCCCGTCGTCGACGAAGAAAGCGGCCGCTGGAAACGGGCGCAGGCAGGGCGGGGGACGGCGGCGACGACGGCGACAGAGGGGGGGAGGACTACACGCCTCGCTCGGGTCGGACGAAAGGCCGGGAAAGGAAAGAGGGGGTTGCAAAACTTGCTGCTCGCAGTTGGTTTCGGTCGCCCCGCCGAAGGGCCAGTCCTCGACGCATGGCCGCTTTCGGCGCCAGGAGGCGCTTGGAAAATTGGCGACGTGAGCTGCTTAACAAATCCCCCCTTTGCTGCGCCCATGTTTCGTCCAGCCCGCCTTGCCGACATGCCCGCATCGGTTCGACAGAACCTTGGCTCGCCCTTGCCTCCAAACACCCCCTTGTGCCCCTCGTTGGCGGCCGGGCGTCGGCGCCAATCATCAGCGCCGCCCCGTTGATTTTCAATCTGGCGGGCGCCACCCAGCGATTCGCCCGAGCAGGGAAACTATTTTTTTACACGCCCCTCCCCCACATATTTGGTAACCACAATTTGATATTTGGTCCACCAACGAATGTTCTAGGACATTTGCGTGGTCTGCACGAAAGGTTCTTCGAATAATTCTGGATGGCATTGTCCGGTATTCACACATCGGGTTGTTGTTTTGAGAATACGGTTGTTCGTTATTAGAACATTTTTTGAGTTCTGACAACATTCCGTGGTAGGCCTATGCGAATGCCAGGACGGTCGGCCCTTGCTTACGTAGCGACGCATCGCCAATGCATCGGCGATGTGGCTCGGTGTGGAGCCCCACTTTCTCCACGCCAACGTCCCCGATGGATCACCGATGCTTTGGCGATGTATCGGCGATGCATCGCGACTACCCGACCCAACGTGTCCGGACTTTACCTAAGAGTCGTCTATAGGGGAACGAGAGGGGTAGGCATCCTCTGCGAAACCGTCCGGCCTTCTGAAAAGTTTTCCTTGGTGTCGGGATCGGAGAAGGCTGCATCATGATATCGCTTGCTGTCCACCACAACCACAAATTGGAGGGGGAAGGAGGTGGAGGAGAAGAGGAGAAGAGGAGAAGAGGAGGAGGAGGAGGAGGAGGAGGAGGAGGAGGAGGGGGAGAAGGAGGAGGAGGAGGAGGAGGAAGAGGAGGAGGAGGAGGAGGAGGAGGAGGAGGAGGAGGAGGAGGAGGAGGACCCCTTCCCCCTCGTACTTCTGGTGGTAGCGGTGGACAACAAACCCACCACATCAGGAAGTTTCTCGGATTGCTGGAGAACTCCTGCGCCTTCTCAGAAGGCTCGCCCCCTCCGCACCCGGGCGCGCCGCCGACGGCGTGTGGGGGGGGGGGAGGAGGCCCTCCTCGCCGGGCGAGGTGGGCCGCTGCTCCCGGGTTTCGGAAACGACGGTGGGGGCGAACAGCCCAGGGGCGGGCACTGCACGTATTCGCAGAGGGAAAAGGGTACCCATACCTCTACGCTTCGGCAGTTTTTTTCGTTTTTGGGCCTCCTGGGAGGTCCTCGCTGCCACTTCGAAATTCTGGTCAGAACGAACCCCGGGAGAGGTCCGGGGAGTAGCGGCATTTGTATCCGTATATTTTGATTTCGTTGTATTCACCAGGGGCGGGCATTGCACGTATTCAGTGTTCATTTCGACTCCTCCGATTCGATTCGATTCGAGTTCGATGGCCTCCGATTCCGATTCGATTCGACTTGGGATTCCGATTTTGGTTCCGATTCTTTGTTGGAGGCATACTGGCCTGCAGATTTCCGCCGGTTCGATTTTTCCCGACTCGGCTGCCGATTTCCACCGATCCGATTCATTTCGACCGATCCGACTTGTCGATTCGATTCTGGGCTCTCCTGCGCATTCACCCGGGAGCCTCGCCGCGGGCATGGACCTTCGGCGTCTTTGGATGCACATGTCCTGCTCTTCCCCCGGGCTCTTCGCCACGCGCCGCCGCCCCTGGAAGCCGCCCCCTTGCCTTTTCGAGCCGCCGCCCGGCTGTGCGCGGGCCGCGGCAGGCGCGCCGCGCTGTACAGACACCGCCTGCGCGGAGGCCCCCGGGCTCGTGAAGCCTGTGCTGCGCCTTCGAGCCGCGCCCGACGACGGGGCGCTGCCCTGCGGCGCTCCTTCGGAGGCCTGGAGGTCGGCAGCAACATCCGCATCGGCGGTGCGCCTCCACCGAGGGAAGACGACCCCGGCCTCGGTGACGGTGGCAATGCGCGCGGGCCCTCCATGGATGGGCGACGGATTGCCACCAGCACCCGAGTCTGGGATCGTCCTCCCCCCGGTGGAGGCAGCCCCCCAGGGGGGTGCTGGTGCTCCTTTCCTCCAAGCCTCCAGCTCCTCCCTTTTCACCCGCGCCGCCCGACGCGCGACGCTGGGCCAGCGCTCGCCTCCGCCCCTCGGCCCCTCCCTCGAGGCGCGCGGCCCCTCGCGCCCCGCCGCCCGCCCGGCAGCCCGTGGTTACAGCAGGGCGCCGGCGCGCGCGCACGCGCCAACTTTTCGCCGCGCGCCGCCGTGCCTCAGAGGAGCAAAAGGGCGTGACGACATTACGCCCCAGGGTTTCCAGGATTCTCCAGGTCTCCTGCTCCGACGGACTGCAGAGGCAAGGGCCGCCGGAGACCCTGGAGGTCCTGGAGCGCATCCTGAGCCATCCCAGCCTGGCATCATGCTTGTCCTGGGCCGATCCCCGCACCTGCAGAGCACACCGGCTGGCCACGTGGCCAGGCTCGGAGGACAATGGAAAGCATGAACCTCGCGGACCTCGCGGATCCGCGCTGGGTCCTCCCTGGCGGCGCTTCTGGCGTCGCCCCCGGCGGCGCGCTCCAACCGCCAGGGGCGGGGGTCCAGCGCGGATCCAAGATTTCCGCGCGCAGCTCCCAAGATTTTCGTCTATGCCGTTTCTGTTTCTCTCAAGACGGGCGTGCCCCCCTCCTGGAGCTCCACAGGGGCTGGGGCAGGCGGGGGGGAATCATTCTTCATGTGGCGTTGGCGCCATGTGCCTCCGCATCGCGTCGAACCCCTAGCGAAGTCCGTGGGATGGAGCGCCTGAACTCAAACCAGGTCGTTAGCATAAAACAACGAAACCGTCCGATTCCGAGCAATAATAAACTCGGATACATGCGGAGTTTCCCATACCCCCCCTCGCCCATCGTTCCCTCCAGACTTTCTCCAGCATCGATCTGTTCGATCCGCATCCACTTTCCGGTATCGGACGAGTCGACTCTGCTGGAGATACGGGGCATCCGACCCCCTGGGAGAGGTCACAGAAGCGACATGAACGGATGCAGGAAGTGGAGCAGAAGGAGGAGGTTCCATCCTTTCTTCCTTCCACTTCTTCCTTTGCCCATCCGTTTCTCTATCCACCCATTCATCTCTACATCATTCTGCCCCTCCGTTCATCCATCCGTCCCTCCCTTCACCGGTACCGCCGTCCCGTTCTCAACATTTCCCGCCGTCCCTTGATTGTCTATGCCTCCTGCCTTCCCCATCCCCCCTCATCATTCCTGTTTCCATCCCCGATTCCTCATCCTCTCTCCTCACTTATTTCGAAGGCCTTACGGCCGGTGCCGCTGACCCGGGAGGGGTACAACGACAAAGACAGCGACGATGAACATACTCAAAAAGCTAAGGAATGGGAGGGAGGAGGAGAGGGGGACGAAGGAGGTGAAGGGGAAGGAGACGAGGATGGAGGAGGGCAGATAATTAGGAGGAGGAGGAGGAGGGATGATGAGCTGGATGGCATAGGAGTCGCCATGGATTCGCCATCTACGTACCAGGATGGGGGTGGCGTGTCGCCACCAAGACAAAAGGGCAGCGCGGCAACCACTTGACTGTGTATGCACCGTCGGGCTGCCGACGACGACGACGCTGACGTGGGTCAGACTCCTCAGGGATGCGTCTTGGGGTCTGCTCGAAACGCTCTTAGGGGGCCTCGGGGGACAGTGTAGGCGTCTCTTGGGAGCCTCTCGGGGGCCTGTTGGGGCTCCCGGGCCTCTCGCGAGCATCTTAGGGTCTCTTCGGGGCTTCTGGGGTGCCTTTTGGGGGGCCTCCTGGCTTCTCCTGGAGCACTTGGGGCGGAGGGCTCGAAACGTCAGTTTTGGTCCGCCGTCTCGGCACCGTCTTGGAGCCGTCTTGGGGGCCTCCGGAGCTCTTTTGGAGGCGTCTTGGGCCGTCTTTGGACTCTCTTCGGCCGTTTTGGGTCGCTCGTGGAGTCCTCTAGGGCTGTCCGGGCGAAACCTAGGAGGCCGAGTGGGCCGTTCTGGAGCGTCGGGGAGCGGGAGAGGCGAGAACGCCGAAATCCTGCAAAAACCGATGGAGCATATTAGTTGTTTTTTCTCTCGAGGCACTTTTGGGACTGCTCCTGGAGGCCCCTTTGAGCGTCTTGCAGTATTCTTGGGCCGTCTGGAGGCCGTCCAGGCGTTCTGGACAGATCGGTCGGCGAGTCGGGGCCCTCGTGGACTGTCTTTGGGAGCTTTTGGGGCATTCTGGGCCCGTCGTGAAGCTTGTTTGCGGCCGGGGAGCCTCCGGAGGGGAAGCGTATCTGACCCCCCCAGGCCCCCCTTGAGTCCGGACCCGGACCCAGGATCCCCTTCCTAGCGGGGGAGGGATCAACAAATAGGAAGTGGTTTTCTTTCGAACGCATAACGACGTTGCTCGATTCCGCTTTGGCTGACGCGCTTGAGGAAGAGAGCCCAAGAAAGGAGAGTGGAGCGGCGACGGGCACAGGGAAAGGAAAACGCAGAGAAAGAGGACGACAGAGACAACGATGAAAAATTTACGACGACGATGACGACGACGACGACGACGACTCGAACGGAAAGAACCCTCACACACACACCGACAGGGTCGGCGGATTTCTCCACGGTCCCCCCCCCCCACTTCCGCATAGGCCTTTGTTCTTCCCCTCGCGAATATTTCATTCATGTTTCCCCAACCCTTGTTTCTTATCTTTCTTCTCCCTCCAACTCGCCGCGCCCCTTTCTCGTCACCCTGTCCTCCTTGCCTCCCTCCTCGTCCATGCCATCATCTCATTCCTTCCCACGCACTGATCTGTCCAACTGCCCATCCATCCATCCTCTCCTCCTTACGGGAAGAGGAAAGAGGCGGACGAAAGGGAGCAGAAATAGTAGGGTAGAGGACGGTGAAATAAGGTCGAGGAGAGAGGGAGGAATATAGGTAGGGAGTAACAAGTGGCACGTGTGCCATGGCTCTTGCACAAAAAGGAAGGGGGAGGAGGAGGATGTGGAGGAGGAGGGGGGGGGGGGGGGGGGGGGGGAGAGGATGCCAGACATCGCAGAAGGAGTGAACAAAACAGGGCCGCAAGAGGGGCTCCAGAGGGCGAGCGCGAGGAGACTCCAAGGGCCGTCCCCCGCAAGATGGCTTCAAAGACCTTTGACGGGTTCCCAGGAAGCCTCCAACTGACGCCCGAGAAGCCTACAGAGGGTTCCAAGGGGAGGCCTCCAGGGTCCAAGGAGGGCTGGAAGAAATTACTGAGCGGACTCAGCTGCTGGGGGCTCGCGGTGCAAAGTGCGCGGCGGCCTTGTGTTGCGAACGCTTGTCCAAGGCAGTCGCTTTGCACGCAGAGTCTGTCGGGTGTATTCTCGGGGGCAAGTGGTCGGGGCGGAGGGGGCACGGGGCGGGCGCTAGAGCCGCGGGGGGGCGCTGAGACGGCGCGGGGGAGGGGGCGGAGCGGGGAGGGGTGCGGTGCCGAAATAAAGTGGTCGAGGCGGAGGGGGCACTGGGCGGGCGCTGGAGCCGCGGGGGCGCTGAGACGGCGCGGGGGAGGGGGCGGAGCGGGGGGGGGTGCGGTGCCGAAATAAAGTGGTCGGGGCGGAGGGGGCACTGGGCGGGCGCTGGAGCCGCGGGGGGCGCTGAGACGGCGCGGGGGAGGGGGCGGAGTGGGGGGGGGGGTGCGGTGACGAAATAAAGTGGTCGGGGCGGAGAAGGGGGCACTTGGCGGGCGCTAGAGCCGCGGAGGGGCGCTGCGCGGGCGAAGGGGTGAGGGGGCGAGCGGGGGGGGGGTGGCCCGGGGCAGAAAAAAATGTCGGGGCGGAGGGGGAGTGGGGCGTCGCCTTTTCTCTGGCCGGTAAGCTCTTTGCTAAGGGCGCTGGAGCCGCGGGGGCGCTGAGACGGCGCGGGGGAGGGGGCGGAGCGGGGGAGGGGGCGCGGTGCCGAAATAAAGTGGTCGGGGCGGAGGGGGCACTGGGCGGGCGCTGGAGCCGCGCAGGGGCGCTGAGACGCGGGTGGAGGGGGCGGGAGCGGGGAGGGGGGGGGGGTGGCGGTTGCCGAAATAAAGTGATCGGGGCGGAGGAGGCACGGGCTGGCGCTGGGGCCGCGCGGCGTGCGCTGAGGCGGCGCGGGGGATGGGGCGGCGCGGGGGAGGGGGGGTGCGGTGCCCGAAATGAAAGGGGTCTTGGCGGAGGGGGCCCTGGCGGGGCGCAGGAGCCGCGCGGGGGCGTGAGACGGCGCGGCGGAGGGGCGGAGCGGGGGGGGGGGGAATGGAGCGGTGCCGAAATAAAGGGTCGGGGCGGAGGAGGGCCACTGGGCGGGCGATGGTAGCCGCGGGGGGGCGCGAGACGGCGCCGGGGCGATGGGGGCGGGAGCAGGGGGGGGGTGCGGTGCCGAATAAGTGGCGGTGCGGAGGGGGCACTTGGCGGGCGGGGGGGGGGGGGGGTGGGGGTGCGGTGCCGAAATGAAGTGGTCGGGGCGGAGGAGTCACTTGGCGGGCGCTAGAGCCGCGGGGAGGGCGCTGAGACGGCGCGGGGGAGGGGGCGGAGGGGGGGTGCGCGGTGCCGACATAAAGTGGTCGGGGCGGAGGGGGCGCTGGGCGGGCGCTGGAGCCGCGGGGGGGCGCTGAGACGGCGCGGGGGAAGGGGGGCCCGGAGAGGGGGGGATTGGAGTCGGGGGGGGGAGGTTGCCGAATAAAATGGTCGGGGCAGAGGGGGCGCGGGGCGGGGCGCTGGAAGCCGCGGGGGCGCTGAGACGGCGCGGGGGGGGGGGGGGGGGGGGGGGGGGCCGGGCCTGCGGGGCCGGGGGGGGGGTGCGGTGCCGAAATAAAGTGGTCGAGGCGGAGGGGGCGCTGGGCGGGCGCTGGAGCCGCGGGGGGGCGCTGAGACGGCGCGGGGGAGGGGGCGGAGCGGGGGGGGGGTGCGGTGCCGAAATAAAGTGGTCGGGGCGGAGGGGGCACTGGGCGGGCGCTGGAGCCGCGCGGGGGCGCTGAGACGGCGCGGGGGAGGGGGCGGAGCGGGGAGGGGGGGTGCGGTGCCGAAATAAAGTGGTCGTGGCGGAGGGGGCACTGGGCGGGCGCTGGAGCCGCGCGGGGGCGCTGAGACGGCGCGGGGGAGGGGGCGGAGCGGGGAGGGGGGGTGCGGTGCCGAAATAAAGTGGTCGGGGCGGAGGAGGCACTGGGCGGGCGCTGGAGCCGCGGGGGGGCGCTGAGACGGCGCGGGGGAGGGGGCGGAGCGGGGGGGGGTGCGGTGCCGAAATAAAGTGGTCGAGGCGGAGGGGGCACTGGGCGGGCGCTGGAGCCGCGGGGGGGCGCTGAGACGGCGCGGGGGAGGGGGCGGAGCGGGGGGGGGGTGCGGTGCCGAAATAAAGTGGTCGGGGCGGAGGGGGCACTGGGCGGGCGCTGGAGCCGCGGGAGGGCGCTGAGACGGAGGGGGCGCATGATGATGATGATGATGTGGATGATGATGATGATGATGATGATGATGATGATGATGATGATGGTGATTATGATGGTGATGATGGTGAGGATGATGGTGATGATGATGATGATGTTGATGATGATGATGATGATGATGATGATGATGATGATGAAGGGGGGGGGGGGGCGGTGCCGAAATAAAGAAGTCGGAGCTCTAGACACCCTGTGCAAGAGAATTAAGGAGGAAGGATGGATGAAACGGGAGGAGGGCAAGAGGCATCGGAGAGCTTTGTAGAGGAGGAAAGGATAATGAGCATCAGTAAGGAGAATCATGAGGCTCCCTGAAGGGCGAAGGAGGAGAAGTGGATGGGGAGGAGGGCAGGAGTGAGGAGAGGGACGAGGAGGATGATAGAAGAGAACGACCTGAACGAGCAGGGCGAACGAATGCAAGCACCGGTGCCCGGCCAGGTCTCTTTCGGTGCGGCTGCGAGCGCTTGCGAGCGCGGCCAGCAGTGGCAGCACGCCCTTGGGCTCTTGGACACGGCGTGGCAGCGGGCGATCCCGCCGGACGCCTTGTGCGACGCCGTCGTCGTCGTCGTCGTCGACGGGGACGGGGCGGCGTTCGGCGTGGGCGTCGGTCTCGGCGTCGGCGTTGGCGGGGTCGGGGTGGTCGCGAGCCGAAGTGTCCCAGAGGAGGAGGATGAGGAGGACGAAGAGGAGGAGGAGGAGGAGGAGGAGGAGGAGAAGCCTTGCCATTGAGTCCAAGAGTCCAAGGACTCCAGCCACCACAACCTGTGTTTGTTCGGGAAGAAAACACGTTAGACGTCTTGGCGCGCTCCTGAGCTGTCTTGGATCCTCTTGGGCTCTGCTGCAGGCTTCGATGAAGGCTCCTGGGGTCCTGGAGCGCCCTTGGGAGCTCCAAGCGTGACTCCGAGAATAAAGAACTGTCCTTGGGCCAAGGGTGGCCGGGCTGCGCCCGGATTTTTTGTTCGCCTGGCACCCCCCCGCGGACACCAAGCGCGCGCGCGAATTACGGAATTCGTTGGTTTGTTACCGGAGATGTTAGGAAGCCTTTGGCCCATTGATACTCGCGAATCTCGTTAGGTGCTCGCGGTTGACAGCACCTAACGCACGAATATGTTTCCGGGAAGCGAGTGTTTGTATTGAGTTTGATGCCTGAGATGGGAAGGATTGTGATCCTCGCGAGTTTTCCGTGATGGCCTATTTCTTCATTATTCCAGACACTTGCGCCGCCTTATCCCCCCATCAAGGGTTTCTTTGCACTTGGCAATGGAATGTTGGCAATGTTCGAGTCGGGGTATGGCTCCTTGCGGCAAGTCTACTCAACTTGATTGTCACCCCTGACCAGACCTCGGGCGTCTTAGTTTGGTAACACGCGGGCCCAAAGACCTCTCGACAGGGACAAGCCTGTCCCTTCCCAGGGACAAGCCTTTCACGCCAGATCGTTTTGACAGTCCAGGGGCTGAGAATTTTTGGGGGTACTGTTGCTCTGGTTGCTGCAAGGCGTTCAGGGCATGGGGCCTCGCTTCTTGTCTCCACGCTGATGGACGCCCCTCCGGGGCCAGGACACGATCGCCTACAGTGCTGCCGTGAGCGCCTGCGAGAAGGGCCGCCAGTGGCCCCAGTCGTGCGCGCTGCTGCGAGAGGCGGCCTTCCACGACCTCAGGCCCGCCGACGGGGGCGCGAGGCGAAGTTTGGGAGTTCTGCGACTCTGCGACCAATTGCGAACCTTCCCCCTTCGTGTCCACTCGACGTTGGGGTATCAGACACCCCCGTTGGGGTTCACCTGGCTGCAAACATCCTTCGAATTCTGAACCCCAACAGGGGTTTCAGAATTTTGACCTGCAGGGGCAGGGTGCACACGCGTTATTCTAGGATGTGGAAATGCCGAGTCGGAGGAGGAGGGACGGCGACAAAAAAAACGCATGCTTGCCGGTGTGGACCCCAAACAGTGAGCTCTCGCGCAGGATGTGTAAGCAATGGGGTGCAGGCTGCGTGGAGCAAGCGGCGATGCGGTGCAGAACGATTGGTGCAAGCTATTGTGGTGCAAGCTACTTGGTGCAAGCCACGTGTTGCAATGTACTGAGCCAAGGACCGCTTCGGGATCAGGAGGGGCCCTGGCGTCCAGTTTGTTCCTGAGATCTGGGTCGGGGAACACTGTCGAAGTCGAGGCTTGCTGTGGCCAGCAGCACACCTCCGTTCTTCATTCAGTGTTTGTTAAGGTTCGGTAAAACCATCAAGCGTCCTCGTACCTCCCTCTTAGATTGCATTGGCGTGCGCTAGCTCCTGGTGATACAATTACGTAGCGTAAAGCGCCGAATTAGCACCGATACAGCGTCGATTAGCGCGTCGATTCAGCGTCTAGTCGGCGTCGACCAGCGCCGATTCGCAAGGGCCAGCAAGGTGGATGCCGCAGAGCTTAGGTGGCTTGATGACTGTATGCTTACTTCTTTGAATAAGAGATCAACTACATAATTGATGTACCCCTCTGTTGAGTTCTTCGTAGAATCTACGAAACGTAGGTAGTTGTTTTGCAGATTCTCGGCAACAAGTCTATCTCCTCCTCGTCCTCCTATCTCTCCTCCTTGTCCTCCCTCTCCCGAGTACGCATCTGATAGCGGAGAGTGTCGGGCCACGCGGGTTCCGAGATTCGAGCGGGAGAGGAGCGAGTTGAGGGGGGGGGCAGTGGTGTTGGCGCGAGGGGCCGGGGAAGAGAATTACGATCGGAGGGGCGATGTGCCAGTTTACGCAACCGCAGCAGGCCTCTGGTCGGTACCTAGGTTCTCGCGCGCGCCTCTCGTTCTCGCCTCCCAGAGGTTGGACGCCATCGCGTTCAACTCCGCCATGACGGCGTGTGAGAAGGAACGCGTCTTTCGGAGCCCACAGGAGCAAGTAACTCTCGATGTGTCCCTCACCCCCTTGTTGTCAGCGTTCCTGATCATCCGTCTCCATGAGGTCCTCGTGCGCCCAATTCCGACTTCCACCCCCTTTCACTTCATAACCTTTTTGTCCCAATTCGATTAGAACCCTCGGATTTCATAATGATCCCCCCTGCGTCCTGAGTCTTCACATTCGTTTTTCCCTCCCCACGCCTTTATGCTCTGGTCTCGCTCTCCATCCATTACATGCCTGTCTCTCTCCATCTCCCTATCTCTGTCTCTCTCTCTCTCTCTATTTCTCGTCTTTTCTCTGTTTGTCTCTCTCTCTCTCTCTCCCTCTTCCCGCCCCCTCTCCATCCCCTCCTCATCCTCCTCTTCTCCCGTTGCCATTTAGTCCTGACTCCCATGTTCCTGAGGCCAGCTTGTGCCCCTCATGGTCACGGCACTACTGCGTGCAGCCAGGCTCGGACTCTCCACGCCCCTGGCTCTGGCAACGGACCCCTCCATCGCTGCTGAGTTTCACGACCCTGATGTCCACGGTTTACAGACTTGCACACGGCCATGGCTGCCCACCTGGCCGGGAGGGTCCTGCCGTCGGCCACGGCCAGGGGGGTGCTGCCGTCGGCCACGGAGGCCCCGTCCTACACCCAGTTTGCCCCTGCCCACGGCGAGGCGCGGCCGCTGCCGCCGGTTGACGCCCGCGCGCGTGCCGCACGGACCGATGGCCCCGCTCCGGGCTCGTCTCGCTGGCGCCTGTGACCACACCAGGCCCATGCTCGCGCGGGGGGCTCGCCCGCAGCGTCTCGCGAGGTCCGCGGGGCCACGTGGGGCCCGCCCTTCGCTGCCCCGAGCGCCCAGCGACGAGGCCCGAGCCCCGACAGCCGACAGCCCCTGCAGCTCCCAGGCTTGCACCCTTAGGGGCTCAGCGGTGGGGGCTCCCGGCGCCCGTGCCCGCTCGCCGTGGCTGAGCTCTCCCCCCAGGGGTCGTGCGGAACAGCAGAGGAAGGGCTCGCATGGGCTTGCCCAGGGTGCACTCCACCCAGCCACACCCACACGATGACTGCCAGCACGGTGGCTAGCTATAGCATCGCAAGCTGGACGCACACCTGCCGGCGCGACGGGCTCGTTCTTTGTCCAGTGGCGTGGGCGCAAGAGGCGGAAAAGGGGGGACGGGGCCGGCGTTTCTCGATTTGCGCAGGGTAGGCCGATTACAAAGCCAAGATCTTGCCGCTGCGTTAGACAAGTTCTGTCTTTTCGATCATACCAGGCTCGTTTCCGTTTCTAAGATCTACCCTCGTCCTGCTCCGACTCCTGCCTCATTACTCTCCTTCTTCTCCGCCCTTCTGAGCGCCAAATCATCTCCATCCTACCCAGAGCACGCAGTGGGAGCGCGCTCTGGAGCTCTTCCGGGGCATGCCCATCCGAAGCGTGGAGCCAGACCAGGTCAGCTACGACGTCGCCGTTGCGGCCTGCAAGGCCACTGGTTGGGGACGCGGTGGCGGCTTTCTCCTCTTTTTAATCACGCTCCTTGCCTCGGGCACGAGCGGGGGTTGAAGGGAATACGCGGAAGGGTAGCGGAAGGAACGAACCACCAGGATACGAGCGGAAGGAGGGGAGGGTCGGGAAGAGGTGAAGCGGTGCGCGAATGAGGTTCAGGAAGGAGGAGGATTGCACGAGGGGCAGCAAGAAGGCGAGAGGTCAAGGGGCCTTCTGGTGGTGATCAGAGGATGCAGAGAGGGTGGGATCAGTGGATCAGGAGCGAATGAGGAGGAGAGGACAGGAAGTATAATTGTAGATGGGAGTGGAAACAAACAATACAACAGAGACAGACAGACAGACGAGCAGACATATCGACAGACAGGCAGTGACGGAGAGAGGATAGAAGTGAGATACACGAAGAAGTGAGAGAGGGGGGATAGAGAGAACGAGACACACACGCATATACCTATAACGGCGCACCAGGGCCCGGGCCCCCGGGGTCGCGACCTCTACCACAAATGGGGGTGTGCAGGCCCTTGGGGCGCCCCAGACGCCCCCAAAACGCCACCAGAAAGCGCCAAGAGAACCCGAAGACGCTCCAAGAGGGACCCGAGACGCCCACTGGCCGCTCCAAGACGCCTCCAGACGGCTTAAGAAGCCCCCAAGACACCCCAAGAGGTCCCCAAGAGGCCAACCAAGAGAGCCCCAAGGGGCAAAAATATCCCCATTCCCTTCGTAAAACGTAAATGTTTAGCATATTGATTGTTTTCGCTGTCGTGACCCCCAAGACCGCCCCGAGTCGGCCCAAGAGGCGCCCCAGAGGGCCCCAAGACGGCCCTAGAGGGCCAAAAGACGGTCGAAAAAATGCCACAGATGGCCCAAACGGGCCCCCAAAGGGGCCCAAGAGGAGCCCAAGATGGGGAAATCCATATGAAATTTCGAGCACCCCGCTCCAAGAGGACCCCCAGGGCCCCAAGAAGCCTCCAAGAGAACCCAAAAGGCCCCCTAAGACGCCCCAAGAGCTCAAAGACGCCCCCCAAGGGAGCCCCAAGGAGCAAAAATCGTCCCATTCCTTTCGGGAAACGTAAGTGTTTGGCGTATTCGCCTGGTCCTTCACAGCGTCCAAGACGGCCCCAAAGGTCTCAGAAAATCGCCCCAGAGGTCCCCAAGAGGGTTCCAAGACGTCCCAAGAAGCGCCCAAAACAGCTCAAGAGGCCACCAAGAACGCTCCCAGCGGGGGTCTGGGACGAACGCTCGGAATGGATTTTGCTGCCTTTGTTCCGGAGAGGCCCCCAGGAAGCTCAAGGAAACCCCCAAGAGGCCCCTCAGAGGTTTCCGGAGACCCCCAAGAGACCCCAAGACAGTCCAAGAAGCCTCCAAGGCGCCCCAAGAGGCCTCCAGCACGCCCCTTGAAGCAACCCCAAGGATTTTAAGTCGTCCAATTCCTTCCGGAAAACGTATTTGTTTCACATTTTCGCCTGATTCACCTTCCCAGAGTCCAAGACGGCCCTAGAGGTCTTCGAAAATCGCCCCAGAGGTCCCCAAGGCCGCTCGAAGACAGCCCAAGGGAGACCCGGATGCTCCCAAAATGCTCCCAGAGGCCCCCACGACAACCCAAGAGGCCATCAAGACCGCTCCAAGAGGGGGTCCTGGAGGGGGGAATCCCAACTGATTTTTCCGTCTCTAGGCTGAAGAGAGCCACTAGGGATGCCAGGACCCCCCCCCCCGAGGCTCCCAAGACGCTCCCAGACTCTCCAAAGAGGCCCCCACAAGTCTCCCGAGAGGCCCCCCGTATGAGGCCTTAAAGCAGCTATCAAGATGCGTCCGAAACCTTAACATCCATGCGTTCGCGGGACATCCCCTCGCTGCCCGGGAACGGGACGACGTGTTTTTGTTTTGGGGGGGATGTGTGTGTGTGTGTGTGTGTGTCTGTGTCTGTGTCTGTGTCTGTGTCTATGTCTGTGTCTGTGTCTGTGTCCGTGTGTCTGTGTCTGTGTTTGTGTGCGTTTGTGTGTGTGTGTGTTTGTGTGTGTTGGTGTTTGTGGTTGTGTGTGTGTCTGTGTCTGTGTCTGTGTGTGTGCGTTTGTGTGGGTGTGTGTGTCTGTGTGTGTACTGGTGTTTGTGTTTGTGTCTGTGTGTGTTCGAGCTTGTATTTCTCTTACTCTTCCTGCTGGCATTCGTGCCGCCGCCGACGTCGGCGCCGCCGCCGCCGCCGCCGTCGCCCCCCCCGCCGCCGCCGCCGCTGCCGCTGTCGTCGTCGTCGCCGTCGTCCACGTGGTCGTCGCTGTCGTCGTCGTCATGGTCGTCGTCGTGGTCGTCGTCGTCGTCGTCTTCGCCGTCGTCGTCGTCGTGGTCGTCGTGGTGGTCGGACAATATTAAAGGAGGCCACCATGACCGCCCCAGAAGCGCCCAAGAGGCCCCCAAGATGTCCCCAGGACGACCCAATGACCTCCCAAGACGGCCCGATGATGACCCAAGATGAGCTCCACGAAGCCTGCAAGACTGCCAGCGTAGCCCAAGATTGCCTCCATCGCGGTTCTAACGTGCTTCCAAGACGGCCTATATGGCTTCCAGGGTATATGGCTTCCAGAGGGCCCAAGATGGAGACCGAACAAGCCCAACATCGCCTTAACTTGGCCGCAAAGGCCTCAAAAACCTCCTAAGAGGGTGCCAAAGAGGACCCCCAAGAGGGCCCCCGAGAAAGAACATTCATGGATTTCCTGCAGGTGCTCGAAGTTTGTTGGGGTTCGCTATTTTTGGCTTCCCGACGGCCCACGACGGCCCAAGAGGCCATGATGACCGACCCAAGAGCGCCCAAGAGGTTCCCAACATGGCCCGCCATGTTGGCCCAAGTCATTTTAGCTCAAGCTGTTGTGGCACAAGTATTTGCTTGCAAACGCGTGACACACGAATGGATTCCAAATTCCGGTGCAACATATGTGGTATCAATGTGGATCGCGAAGTGGTGGACCAGGGAAATTGGTGCTATGGTGTAACTTCTGGGATCCATACCGAAAGTTTCATAATGATATACCAGAGCGTTGTAGCTGTGATTGGATTGTGGATGGGTGTCGTCGACATGCAGAATCGTACGATTGTCGACGCTGCCCGGCAAGACATCCTTGCTTCTGGGGTCTTTGCGACCATAGTTCGTGCCCAAATGAGAGTTCGAAGCAGAAAAGTGGGATGTCTCATTGTACAAGGATTTTCGACTCTCTTGAGAAAACGGAGCGACACATTCGAAAAGCCAAGCTACGTTCGGAAAAAGAAAGAGTGGATAAGGCGAAACGAGAGGCAACCCAGTCAGGAAAGTGTTTCTGCTGTGAGCAAGTTTGGCCACGTTGCTGCAAGTTGCACAAACAAGAAGGCCTTTTTCCCCGTTTGCTTGAGATGGCTTGTGCAAATTCGGAGATCGGTGTTTTTCCCCGTGGGTGCTTCAGCAAACCAATATTGCTCAGTCTTCGCCGACAAGTACAATACCTTTTGACCAGAATAGGAAATTACATTTGAGCGCAGACTGCTGCGTGGGGACCCTGTTATGCACCGAGCGACGAATTTGGATGCCGTTTGCTTGAGTCCAAAATGAGAGTAACATGCGGTGCGCGCGCCCATGCATCACGCGATCGCGGCATAACGTGAATCTTGGGGTCGTTGCGACCTTTGGCCATGGATTGCGCTGCGCTGGGTTTCCTTGATTGGCGTCGCGGGGTGCTCGATTTTATGAGCGATCGTTCGGGTCGCGGGGATGTGCACTCGCGAAGCTTGCGCGCGTCTTTCGTCGTCATCGTCGTCCTCCTCCTCCTTCTCCTCCCCCCTCCCCCGTTTATAGGTTGGCGTCGCACCGGCGGCGTCTCCGCGCTCCGATTCCGTGACATTGCGTTTTGCCGCCGGCCGCCCGATTAGGGGGGGCGGCCCTGGGGCGACCCGGCGACCTCCCGAGACGGCCCGAAGATGGCGCAACAGCGCCTTCAAAACGATCCCGACGTGCTTCCACGACGGCCAAGATGGCTTCCAAAGGGCTGCAACCGGACCCCAAAAGCAAACACAAATCGGTCGCGCGAGCGCTCTCACGCGCGACCGCTCTAGGGCTCCTCTCGGGGCCCTCCGCGCCGCATCTGGAGCCCGAGAGGGCTCTCCCCAGCTGTTTTGGAGGGGCCCGAAAGCACCGGGGAGGGGCGAGAAGAGAGCCCCCAGATGGCCCCAGGAGGGCTCCAAGGAAGCCCCGAGAGCAGTCACGCCTCGCCTCCTCGTGTGGCCGCTCTCGGGGTCCTCCTGGAGCTCCCCAAGCCCCATCTGGAGCTCCCCAGGGCCCTCTCGGGGCTCCCCCAATCCGTCTTGGAGAGGCCCGGGAGCTCCCGAGGAGGACCGAGGAGGGCCCGCGGATGGCCCCGGGAAGGCCCCAAGGGAACCCCAAGAATTGTCAAACATCGGTCACGCGAGCGCTCTCTCGCGCGGCCGCTCTTGGCCAGAGGGCGAGGACATCGTCGGAGGGCCAGTCTACGGTCGCTGCGATCGCGTCGGAAGCCTTCCCGAGGGACTCCCCGACCCATCTCTGAAACGTCTGGGCGGCAGCCGCGCGCCCCCCAGGGACTCTTTGGGCCACCTGGGAGCCGCTTGAAGCTTTCTGGAGGCCTCCTCAGTGCTCTTCCGGACCTCCTCAGGCCCTCTCGGAACCTCCCGGGGCTCCCTCCGGGCAGAAGGCTGCCGCTTGCGATCCGAAGTCCATCTCGCGGATCCTTCTCGGGGCCGAGACGGCCCCATAGGCCTCCCGAGGTAGCCCAAACGGAGGTCGGCGCGACCCCAAATAGCCGGCAAGACGGACAAGCTCGGCCACAACACCCTCCACCTTGCCTCCAGAAGGCCAGGGCGGCCCCGAGAGGGCTCCACGTGGCCCCGAGATGCCCCCGACGTGGCCCGCGATGCAATCGAGACGGCTGAATATCCTACTGGCCTTCGGCCCATCCCGGGGTTGTCGGTCCGAGGCCCCTTGCGCGTGGGTTGGAGTCTCGTGGTTGGCCTCTCGGGGGTCTCTGGGAAACCGTGTCGAAGGTTTTTGTTTCGGGGCCGGGCCGCGCCCCCGTCGCGCGCGCGGGGCATGAGGGGCAGGTTTGGGCCCTTGGCGCCTGGATTGCGAGCCACAAATTACATGCCTCGAGTGGCGACATTTGAGGTGCGTCGGCCGAAGAAGGGAGAGGGGGAAGAGATAATCGCAGGACGCGAAGAAGGGCGAAGACGGGGAGGAGGGGGCAGGATTAACACGATGAGTAAGACATGGGGGTGAAGAAGGCGACGGCGCCGACGACGCTGACGACGCGGTCGAAAGTTGACGACGACGGCAACGACGCTTGACGATCGACGACGAAGACGAAGAGGAGCGACGACGGCGACGACCACAATGACGACGACGACGACGACGACGACGACGCCCGCTATCGGAATTCCGCAGCAGTTTTCCGCGCGGCTCTCCCAGACATGTTTTGTGGGCAGGTCTGGCCGGGCCTGGTCGAGTTTTCACGGTCGCCACTGCGTCCCCCGCCAAGTCCTTGCAACGCGAGCTCCTGTTTTGAAGTCTTATGGCACGATTCTGAATCGTCGAGACGCAACGGTCAGGTTGATCCGTGTTTTTGGAATCCTGAGAACAATGCTTTGGCATTCTTCAGGGTGTTCAAACGGGTGTCTTCCAGCGAGGCAGTTCCTTCAATGGACATGAACCTTTGTCGAGGCCTATGAAGAGGGAGTTTGCAGGGAGTGTTTACTCCAGCATCGTTGATGGCTCTTGGGTTTACACTGGTCCTCCTCCTCCATCTCCTCCTCCTCCATCTCCTCCTCCTCCTCCTCCTCCGTGTCAGCCACGCGCAGAGGGGGGTGGGGGGAGGGGGGAGGATTTCTTAGAACCACCCCTGCTTCTTAGAAGGCGCGGGCCTTCTCTGTAGATACAGGGCCGGCGCCTTCTAAGAAGCAGGGGGCTTCTAAGGAGCCCTTCCCCCCTCCCCCCACCCCCTTGTGCGCGCCGCCGAGTGTAGCCTGGTCTGGGGAGGGAGAGCCCCCGGCCGGCCGCCGGCCGGCCGCGCCGGCCGGTCCGCAGGCGGGCGCTCGCTGGGCGCAGGGGTTGGCGTTGATGGACCAGCTCTCCGCGCGGGAGGCCGCCCTCTGGGGATCGAGGAGCGAGGTTCAGGGACGAAGGTCGAGGGTCGAGGATCGAGGTTCAGAGACGAAGATCGAGGATCGAGGTTCAGAGGCGGAGGGATATGCCCATACCGCTACCCCTCACTCGTTTTCTCCTTTTGGGGGGCCTCCTGGGAGGCCCCCGTCGTCACCGCTGGGTTCGCCTCGAAATTCTAGTCAAAACGCGCCCCGTGAGAGACCCGGGGAGCAGCGGGAGCTGTAACCTCTTGGTTTCCCCAGGGGTCCGATCCTCGGGTTCGGGGGGAAGCAGGCGTGGTCCTGGAGGATGTGGGTCTTGGAAGTGGTCTTCGCCATTGTCGGGGGCCCGGGGCCGTCAACACAGGAGTCTGGAAGAGAAGTTGGATCCTGGATGGAGCTCCGCGGTCCAGGACCCCGTGGTGTTCGGATACATTCGCGCCACAGGTTTCCCACCGACTTCGGCGTCCGGGGACCAATGCTTGGCATTGGGATCGTCATGAAACCTGGCTTGCCATCCCGAGTCGATTCGGGATGCAAGACCGACCGGCGCCGATGCACCGCCAGCGTCGCCGATGCATCGGCGATGCGGCGCGCTTCTCGGACGCCATCTACTCGGACCCCATCTAGGAGGTCTTTTAGGGGGCCGGTTGCAAACCAAACCCTTCCGAGGCGAGGATGGAAGACCGATCCGGGGTCGCAGAGTTGTCAGACCATACCGTTCGATGGCCTCGAAAATCCCGAGGACCTCACCGCACGGCTCCTCACTGGGCGGTTCTGGGATGTTGCAGGGCCCACGCCGCCCGAGACATCCTCGGAGGACAGCCCAAGTCCCGAGCGGTCCGCTCACTTCGAGCCACCCCTGATTCACCGGGCTTGGATTATTACGGCCACCGTGCCGTTTGGGACGTCTCCTCCTCCTCCTCCTCTTCCTCTTCCACCTCCTCCTCCTCCTCGTTCTCCTCCCATTCTCCTCCATCTCCTCCTCCTCCTCGAGTTAGATTCGACCCAGACGCCTTGCGTCACAAGGAAAAGAGCACGACGGCCAGTTTCTCCTAAATTTGGCCTCCGTAGGTCCGGTTCTGAACCCCATGACATATCGCGGAAGGTCTGGAGACCCAGATCTCTAGCGACCAGACAAGACCGCGCCAGAGATTCTGTCCAGAAACAGCGCTTGTACTTAATTTTTGTTGTTTTTTACTTCTCCTCTAAGGAACTGCGCCTGTCCGTCGGTCTGGTGGCTATGTTGCCGCCGTCGCCGCCCCGTCGCCGCTTCGTCGCCGCCTGTCGTCTGGGCCCGTCTGTCGGTCTTGCGGTTATTTTGCCGCTGTCGCCGCCCCGTCGCCGCCTCGACGCCGCCCGTCGTCTGGGCCTGTCTGTCGGTCTTGCGGCTTTGTTGCCGCCGTCGCCGCGTCGTCGCCGCCCACACGGATATTTTTTTGTTCGTTTGCTTCCCCCACTCCTTGGATTTATCCACTCACCGGGAACCGATGTAAAGCACATATGATTCTGACCCAGTGTCCATCCTACCAGTGAATTCATACTATCCCAGCCAGGCCGGTATCGACCCCCCTCGGTTCCTTTACCACAAATACTATGCGTGCGCATTCGTTTATAAACTTTCCAAAAATCCCGTTGCAAAAAATGACAAAATGCACACGCGCGCGTCGTCGCGCGCGCATGCCGAAATCCTTCAATATTTTTCGTTGTCGAAAGGATATTGAAAGATAGTGCCCAAAACACATACAAAAACACAACGTTTCGCAGCACGAATGTTCAACAAAAGTGGGCGCGCGTTCTTTCGAATCTTTAAGCAGACCATAAGTTTGTTTCAACATGTTCACACACACGAGCTACCAGACGGGCTTCGCGCGCGCATTTCGAAATCGTTCGAACGCCCTTGCGAGCGCGCTGGGGTGGCATGGCCCTTTTCAAATAGTACCATGCGAGCCACTCTCGCGCGTCTGCCGCGCGCGCATTTCGAATTTCTTTCAAAGCCTTCGTCACCAGCGCGGAGACGCCGTCATCGTCGTCGGCGTGATCGGCATCGGCGCCGCGATCGCCACCAGCAGCATCGTGTCCACAATTGTTGTCACCAACGTCGCCACTATCATCGTCATCGTGTCTACAATTGTCGATGTTGCCATGATATCGCACCCGCCCAAGCCGCCGACTTGCACTCAAGTGCCCGCTGGGATGTGCCGAGCGGTCAGCACCACCGCGGCATCGTCGGTCGCGCCAAACTACCTGGCCGCTGCGCGCGCGCATGCGCGGGCTGGCGCGGCCGTAGAGATGCGCCAGCCAGCACCAAGCACTCATCACAATCGCCGGCGCGTGAGGTTTTGCAATCCAAGTTGCGGGCGGGCGGGCTGGATGTTTGCGCGAGCAGTGGAGTGGACATTTCACTGCGAACAGAAAAAGATTGCACGACATAGGTTGCACCACGTGGGTTGCACGACGTAGGTTCTCCGTGTCTAAAACAGAGTCAGGATCCCCCCGGCTTTATCGATCCACCCTTTCGCATTGCAGTTTGCATACGATTCTGCCCCATCGTCCACCCTGAATTCGAAACCGTACCATCCCAGCCTGGCCCGTATCGACCCCCCTCCACCATCGTTCGCGAAAAGTACTATGCGCGCGCAGTCGTTTATCAAAAATCACCAGTTTCCGAAAATCCTTGCCACAGAACAGGACAAAGTGCACGAGCGCGTCGTCGCGCGCGCATGCCGGTATCCTTTTAAACAGTGCTTGTCGTGTCCAAAACATATAAAGATGCATGGTTTCGCAACGCCGATTTTCCAAAAAGCGCGCGCGCGCGAGTTCTTGCGAATTCTTAAGGAAACCCCAAGGCGTTCAACGTTGTGAGAAAATGCTACCAAACGGGCTTCGCGCGCGCATGTCGGAATCGTTCGAACGCCTTTGCGCGCGCGTCGTCGCGAGAATCTTTTGCAGGAAACGAGACGAAGTGCACGCGCGCGCGTCGTCGCACGCGCGCGCCGACATTCTTCAACGACATTTCGTTCCGCAACAACTTCAAAACCGAATGTCCAAAAGCATTTAAACCACAAGGCTTCGCAACACCATTTGTTTATATAAAGATGCTTGCGCGCGCGTCACTTGCGAACTCTTAAGGTAACCATTTTTTAAACATCTTCATTGGATTCTGCCAAACGGGCCTCTGGCGCCGCATGCCGACATCATTCGCGCGCCCTTGCGCGCGCGGTTGGGGGGGGGGGGGCGCGATCCGGGCCAAATGAAACCATGCGGGCCACTCGCGCGTCGGCCGCGCGCGCGTGTCGAACTCTTTCCAACGCCTTCATCACCGACGTGAGGGCGCCGTCATCGTCGCCGGCGCGATCAGCATCGGTGCCCGCGCTGGCCGCGCCTGCGTCGGTGCGAACATCGCCACCAGCATCGCCACTGCCATCATCGCGTCTACCGCAGTCGGCGTTGCCACGATACCGCGCCCGCCCAAGTCGCCGACTCTTAGCCGCTGCGCGCTAGGGTCGGCGCGGCCGCAGAGATGCACCAGCCAACGCCAAGCTCACAGCGCAATCGCCACCGCGTGGGTTTTGCAAGCCAAGTTGCGAGTGGGCGGGTGGGATGTTTGCAAGAACATGGGATGCGTCAACTCATGGGCAAAAACAGTTGGCACCAGAAAGCTTGCACGGCACAGTTGAAACACATAGATATTCTTTTCCTAGAGAAGAGACTACCCCCTTGGGGTTATCGACCCTCCTTCTCGCATTGCAATTCGCATATAGTTATGCCTCGTAGTTCATCCGCCTCGTAGTTCATCCGGAATATGAACTCGTACCACCCCAGCCGATGCGACACTGCCCCCCGCCATCCTGTGCAACAGAGAGTATGCGCGCGCACTTGTTTATGACGCATCATCAGGTTTCACGAAGCTTTTACAGCAGATGGGACGAAGTGCGCACGCGAGCGTCGTCGCGCGCGCATGGGATCCTTCAATGACTTTCGGTATCGCAAGGCTTTCAAAATCGAATGTCCAAACCACATGTTAGCACGCGTGGTTCCGCAACCCGGGTTTCCCAACAAATGCTTGCGCGCGCGCACGTGCGAATTCTTAAGGACATAGGTGGTCCATTCCATCATTTTCATGACATGATACCAATCGAGCTTCGCTGGCGCATGCCGAAATCGTTCGAGCGCCTTTTGCGCGCGTGACGTTGCGAGAATCCTCTCTGCAAAAAAAAGCACGCGCGCGCCGCGCGCGCATGCCGAAATCCGTCAACAACCATCGGTTTCGTAACGAGGTCAGAACCGAGTGTCCAACACACGCGTAAAAAAAACACGGCTTCGCAACATCAGTGTTCAAAAAGAGCGTGCGTTCGCATTCTTGCGAATCCTGAAGAGAACCATCGGTATCCCAATATGTTCATGGAGTTTTGCCAAGCGGGCCCATGGCGCCGCATGCCGACATCATTCGCACGCCGTTGAGCGCGTGCTGTGGGGCACGACCCGTGTCACCACAAAATGTGCGGGCCATTCGCGCGTCGGCCGCGCGCGCACTTCGATCTCTTTCCACCACTTGCATCACCGACGCGAGGACGCCGTCATCGTCGTCGGCGTGAACAGAATGGGCGCCCGCTTTGGCCGCGCCGTTTTCGTTGACAACGTCGTGATCAGCATCGTTACTACCATCATCGTGTCTACCGTCGTTGATGTTGCCATGATACCGCGACCGCCCAAGTCGCCGATTCGCAGTGAAATGCCAGCTGGGATGCGCCCGGCGGTCAGCACCACCGCGGCCGCGTCGGTCGCGCCAAACCAGCTGGCCGCTGCGCGCGCGAGCTTGGCGGCCGCGGAGATGCACCAGCAAACGCCAAACACGTATCGCAATCGCCACCGCATGTGTTTTGCAAACCTAGTTGCGGGCAGGTGGGTGGAACTGTTGCAAGAGCACGTGCTGTTTGTGCAAATCAATTGTGCCACGTATTTTGTTAGGAACGGACTGTTTGGGCCCGCGTTGGCTAACAATGGTTTTGTTTGTGTGTTCTGGCCCGCCATACAAAACATATGAATCAGCAGCTGGCCAGGGCAGGATATTCGAAGCAGATCAGGTCGTATGACGTTTCGGCCCGGCTTTGTTGAGGGAGGGGAAGGTGGAGGAGGAGGAGGAGGACGAATAAGGATTCTGACATATTTCGTACTTTGTTCATCATCCTGGGACTCGTAGCCACGGCTTGCGGATCTGGAAATCCAGACCTAGACCAGAGCAGACCTAGCATACATCAGCCATATTGAGATGCTGTAGTCCAGCGGCCCATTCAGGTTTGCGATGGAAGAACGCCCCATAGGCTTGCCAATCAAATGCGAGCGTATTCGGCGTGAGCCCCGTTTTGACACGAGGCCGCCGCCTTACATCACCCGCATATCCTGATCTTGTTATTGCATGTGTGGCAACTTCTGGACTGGTGAATGAAGCCCTAAGCCAGAAACACTTTGTGAAGGAACCATTCCGCTCTTCTTGTGATTGCGCAATGCTTGATTGGTGGCCCCAGAAATGGAGAACGCCTTCAGGCGATACCCTCATGTTGAAATCCGCCACCCTCCATCCTTGTAGACGCAAGCTTTCAATGAGAGGCATGGCCAACGAACGTGGGCGGCGTTAAGGCAAGAGACAACGTCTGAAAAACACCCCGCCTCCGCCCGTGCAACTGCTCTTAACAAATTCTTCAGATTGCTCTCTCTGAACACGGTGTTCATTCCGTCCGCGTTGCTGTTGGACATGTAATGTTCCACGACCTCCAAGTAATGTTTAAGTTTGACACGAATCGCCAAGCCCGCGCTACCGACGCCTCTGGTGGCGCGACAACGAGAATGCACCTACGAATAGTTCGAGTCGGGAAGGAAGATCGATGATCGACACGTTCGGGCGTTGTTTGTTGTTTCCTGGGCCCCGGAAGAGGATCTCCTTACCATGATCAGCGCAGCATGCACCAGCATTCGAAATCAGTTGGTATCTGCGAGTTTAGACAAGCAGCAGTATGAAACATGTCTCGGATGTCTTCTCAGAGGCCGCCGGAGCCCAAGTTGCAGGGTTGGACGGCCACAGTACTCTGCAGCCAGCCCATTGGCAATAGGAGGCGAGGCGTGCGTGTCGCAGTCGTTCCTGGCGAGGAAGGCGAAGGAATGGTCATGTTACGACGGCGCCGACGTTCGCCGAAGAGCAGTAAGCGCGGTGGATGCCTGAGCCTTTCCCCGCCGCTCGCCAGACATATACTTTCCCCAGCCACACCCACGCTGTGGTCGGGTACAGTGAAGGCCCATGCCAAAAAAACACCCTGCTTGCCTACTGTGCGCCATGGGTTTCGACGGTTTTGCTATGCTATGGAAGGCGTGACATTCCCACACCAAAAATCCATGGACGTCATGGTGTCTCAGGGTTGGGTTTCTTGTGGAAGGTTTCTTGTGGACTGGCCTCCACTGTAAGTCTGAAGAGCTTGTTGTTGTTCGAGGAGCACTGAGTCACGCAGATCCTTCCAGAGCGCTCCCAGGGGCGTTCCAGAGCACGCTGGAACGGCCGCGGCTCCCGACACGTTTTCCAGAACCGCCGGATCTTCGACCACGGTTTGTCACGGTTCGATGTTGTCCCGCTTGTGTCTCGTCTCTCGGCGCCGAGCGAGGAGGTGAAGTGAAACGGGGCGGGCATTCGCAGAAGGCTGGGTAGCCCCCCGGCCTTCTGAGAAGTTTTCTGATCTTCGCCCGAAGACAGATCCTGTCTCAGAAGGCGCGAGGGCTCCCGAGGAGTCCCGCCGCCTTCTGTGAGGGCCTTCTTCTCACTTCCCCCCCTCGCTCACCGCCAAGTCTCGGGCGGGAGGCGGGGCCGAAGAGCCGCACGGGTCCGCTCGGGCGGCCGGCGCGTTTCGCGGCGGGCGGCCACAACGGCACCCGTGCCCCCCCCCAAGGGTCTGAGCCCGAACGAGATGACGTGCGGCGCGCGCTCGGGGCGTGCTCAGAGCGTCTTCGCCGCCACCTCCTCGTCCTCGTCCTCCTCCTCCTCCTCCTCCGTTTCCTCCTCCTCCTCCTCCTCCGTTTCTTCCTCCTCCTCCTCCGTTTCCTCCTCCACGTCCTCTTCGTCCTCGGCCTCCTCCTCCTCCTCCTCGTCCTCTCCTTCCTCATCTTCTTCTTCCTCCTCTTCCTCCTCCTCCTCCTTTTCCTCCTCCTCCTCCCCATCCACCTCCTCCTCCTCCTCTCGCGGCGCTGGCCGTTCAGGCAGAACTTATTGTGCTTGTTGACGCCATTTCCGGCAACGCGTCAACGGGCATTGGCTCGGCGTAGTTTTCTCAGTGAGATGCGGGCTCATGGCACCCAAGTTTTCTCGCCATGGAGGTGGCAAAGGGCAAGGACGTGGCAAGGGCAGCGGTCGAGAGGACCGTGCTTCAGCAACGGCGACCTGGCCTCATGATGGCGGAGATTCATAGTCTAACTGGTGGAACGATAATGGTGACAAAGGAGCAGACGACTTCTGGAATGGTAAGCGCAGCTATCGTGGGTGCGCGAAGAACCCGAAGTCCGCCTGGTGCTGCAAGCATTGCGTGTCGCCTCTTGCTTCAGCACGTCATTCTGATGATGGTTCTCCTCGGAGTGGTGTTTGGGCTCAGGCTCCCCCTGGAGTCTTCAGGGCGCCCTCGCCTTGGACCACGAAGCCCCTCGGCCCTTCTCTAACGCAGCCTGGTCTCGCCCCTGCTGCGCCACAAGGAGGCGGAGCCAACGGGGGAGGTGGAGTCATGCAGGCAGCTCTTCTGCGTGTGGGCGCCCAGAGCCAGCTCACATCAGTCGAGGTCAGGCAGCTGGCGGAGCTGGCCCGCAAAGGAGGAGACCTGGCCACGGCGACCAAGTGGGAGGCATAGGTCAAAAAGGCTGCATGTCCAAGAGGCCCCCAAGCGGCCAACGCCGCTCCATCAGCTTGTGCAGCAGCAGTTCGTGTTGGTCTCTAAGTTGAAGACGACCCATGACAAAGAAGTGGATGAGCTCTTGGCGTGGAGGAGCGATGTGCATCAGCTGGAGCTGGCTGTGCGATCTTTGCAGGGGGGGGGGGCAGGCCGATTTGCCAGATAAGTCCTTGTTCACGGAGTTGCAGCAGCAAGCATGTGTTGAACCGCCCCCCAGTTCCAATTGCTCCCGCCAATATCAAGATCGAGGTCATGTGCGACGAGAGTTTCGACGTGGCTTCTCCATTCACGATCGACGAGGCTTCCTTCTTTGAGGCGGACGAACAGCTTGCCCAGGACGACCGCGACGAGATCGCATAGCGGGAGGAGGCCCTCACCGTTGGCGCGTCTAAGTTGGCGAAGGAGTTGTTCGGCCCCTCGGCGTCATCAGCTGCCAAAGAAGCTCGGGGAGCGCATCGGGATCACCTTGCGCGCGCGGCAGCAAAGCAGCGGCGCGCGCACGGAGGCGCTGCAGCGAGAGGTGGACCAGCAGCTGACGCACCTGTTCCAGCAAACGGGCCCCGCGATGAAAGCCAGCTGCCTGCAGAGCCTGCCCGCGGCGGGCGGCGGGCGCGCGGCTGCCGCCGCGGAGCGGGCGCCCGACGGAGGCGGGGCCCCCCCGCTGTCCGACGACGCGCGGGCCAAGGCAGAGAGAGCTCTTCACCCCCCATCCCCCTGCTCCTGTCGGCGCGGAAGGAGGCGCGCTATCGCCTGGCCGCGCATCCGTCAACCTATGCGCTTGTCGATCACAGCGCTCAAACCGCGAGCGCCTCCTGCGGAAATTGTTCCTTCCCCGGGCCCCCAGTGAGCTACTCTTGCCCTCGGGGCTTCCCGGGGACACACATGGGCCCAGGGGGCCCAGCGAAGCGGTCGCAACGGACCGCGCGCTTCGGGCGCGCTCGGAAATCTCGGTCTCAGAACGCAGCCCCACCTGGTGGTTATCCGATGCCTGGCGCCGCCTGACGACGGAGCTGGAAGGTCCCTCTTCGGACAGCAGGCGGACGCTCTCTACGGCAACTTTCTGGCGCGAGCGGTCCAGCGCGCTCTCACGCCAGGATGGATGGGATCTGAAAGCTCGCTGGCTCCGCTCGTCGCCACGTTCCCACTGGTTCCCAGGGCCAGGCGCCTTTTGGGCCAGGGCTCGCGCGATTCGCGCGCCGCGTCTTTGTTTGGGCTCTCTCGGTAACGGACGCCGTTTGTGGCAGCCTGGTCTAAGTGGGACCCACTGGCGCGCCTCGCTGTTTTTGAATTCGCGGTGGACACGCTGCCAGATAAACTCGCCCGCTGAGGATGCGGAGGTAATATCATTATACGTTGCCTCTTACTACCAGGGGCTTCTGCTGTTCTTGTGATTGCGGGCGCGGCTGCATAGCGCAGTGCGCCGTAGCATAACGCATCGTAATATCCTTGGACATGGCGCGCATGCTACGTCAGCGTAGCATTGTCAGCACGCGGCGCGCACGGTAGCCGACGGTAGCCGAGCAACGGATCGCGCCCTAGCGTCCACGCAATGTGTACACTAGTCGTAATGCTTGCAGGTTGGGAGGTTTGGGCCCAGTGTTTCGCCTTTCGTTTTGTGACATTCGGCGATTCGTAGCGGCTTAGGGCTGGCGCAGGGCCCGGGGCGTCGTAGGGCCCGAAGGGCTATCTCAGGCGCCCTGCCGATTTCGGAGTTTGTTCGGGATTGCGGGGCGGCCCGACGACCACCCCGAGGTTACGCAGAGCTGGATTGCGGAATCCACCCCTCAATACATATACACATCCACCCCAAATACGCGCACGTGGCGTGCAGTGCTTCGCGTGCTGAGGCTGGCAAGCATAGGAATCGCGAGCGCGTTCGTGGATGAGTTTCAAACGCACTTCGCGGCAGCCGCTTTGCCAGGGCCGTCATTCGCGTCCCCTTGCATGTTGCCACATATGCCATCGCCAACGGCGATGGTGCCCCGTCGTGTGAGTGCAGGGGAACTGGGCAGAGAGAGGGGGGAGGGAGTGAACATACATTCACAGAGTCCAGGGGAAAGGAGAGACATCGATATATATATATATATAGAGAGAGAGAGAGAGAGAGAGAGGGAGAGAGAGAGAGAGAACAAACAAAAAAAAACGAGAGAGAGGGAGGGCATTAGAGCATTGCGGTCACGGATCGCACAGTAGAAAGCAGAGGGCAGCGCAGAGTGAAGAACGGAGACGGATCAGAAACGAGAGGCACGAGTATCATATTGTTGTAGAGTAGAGAGGGAGGAGGGCAGATATTGTGGAACACGGTATATTTTCAGGGGGTGCATCATAGAGAGTAGGGGGTGGCGGACGGACAGTAGACAGCAAAGTGTAGAGTGATGGAGCGAGGAAGCCACGTTGGCCATGTTTTT